TCTTGAAGAAGAGTTTCTTGAAGAACTTACATTAATTTTTGTTTGAAACTTAATTTCTAAGATGATTTTATATTCCGAAAGTATTGTCATATTTGATCAACTTCTTCTAAGAGCTCTCGTAAATAGAAGAAACATTCATAAAATCAATGAAACAAGTCAAAAAGTAATTTTGGATTTCAAAAGTTCGTTATGACTTCTCAAAAAGTCATGTCAAACAAGCCCATTAAATTACTCCAGCAGAATGTATTTTATTAAGATTGTAACTCTTATTGGAACTTTACACATAGGGACAATTCAATGATAAATTTGCACTTGATATCTATTTCTATTGCTTTTTTCCCCTTTCTTATAAGATGTTATGAGCACGAATTTTACAAGTTGAGTTAGCAGAAAATAATTCTTAGTTTTTTTTTAAAATTCGAAATCACGTTTAGAAAATTGACTTAGCAAAAAAAAATATTGTATTAATGTTTTGGAAGAATATCTATATTTCAAAATATTATTATGCCCCTATTTAATGGTCATTATTTGAAAGGTGTTCGGTGTGGACTAAAATTAGATTTTTAATAGATTGTGATAGAAAATTTTGAAATGTGTGATTGAAAAGTAGTGTGACCCATGAAAGATGTGGTTAATATTGATTGTTTGACTTTGACTTGGATTAAAATCAGATTTTTAATCCAAACCAAACATAGGCTTGATAAAAAATAAAGTTTCGAATAGTGAATTTTTGGAGAATATGTGATTAAAAAGTAAGGAAAAGTTTTAAATTTACATGTAACAATTTTACTGCGTGAACGTAATTGAAAATGAGTACGTAAAAAAATAGTTTTGAATAGTGATCGTTAAAGAAGCATGATTTCAATTTATATAAATATTCTAGCAGGATACTGCATCGATACTCCCGGAGAAAGCATAATTCTGTTTATTATATCAACATCTTAGAAGAGTATTTTAGAATATTGTTTATCTATTTGAAAGCGTAAATCTACAATGTTTCTTTTTAGTATGCTTTTCCTTAAAGAAGTGCAATCTATTGATTTTCTAGAAGAATACTTTGCTGTTTATCGCGATTCTTACACATGACAAACACTCAAAAGTGAGAAATACGAGTCAAAACACTAGAACAAATCTAGGGATGATTGATTTTCTTCTATATATTGTCATCGTCACTATTTTTTTTCTTTAAAAAAAAGTTTCACTGCTAAAATTAATGAATATGAATAAAATTAATGTCTTCACCTGTTATGAAGTCAAATGTTACTTTTCTGAAGTAGCTAAGGTGTACTTTGTTAAAAAGTATCATGTTACTTTTGAGTACATCTTGCAAGAAACGGTGTATTGTTGTCTTTTGTATGCAAATCATATCAAAAACATATGCGTAAAATATAGCATCTAACCAAAATTAGTTAATTATAATAAAAACTTCAAAAAGTGAAAAAAATTCAGATTAGGAAGTGTCGATCCCTTGTGTTTAGAATGAATTTTCTAACTTTCAAATGTCTTCGTATTTTTAGTGACCATAATTAAAATGTTAATTTAATTGAAGTATATTAATCTAATTCCTTCTTTGTAGTAGGGGTGTAAGCGGTCCGATTTTTGTAGTTTTTGATAAATTTTCAAACCAAACCGTTTTGAACGGTTTGAGAAAAACTCAAACCTAAACCTAACGGTTTGGTCTGGTTTTAAACCGCCGATTTTACGTATATTTTTTTCCTGTCTAGTATATACTATTATGCCATTAATTCAATATATATTTATATCTTACTAGCA